TTCTGTGCTATAAGTCTCTCTAAAAATGCTATAAATTAATTTAGAAGTTTTATGAAAATTAATTAGATATATATGTTTAACAGTAGATGCAGCAGCATGGCATCACAAGCCAACTTGGAATTCAGTAGTTGAAGCTTGCATATTTGTAGTCTTTCTCCCAAATTTGACTTGCATATAATTGAAAACCCTTCCTGTAATCTTAATTAAGAGAAATGAAGTCTATATTTTAACAAATGAAACAATATACAATTTCCTACTCTTGGAGGAGCACTTTAGAATAGTTGCTGTAAATTCTGGGTAATGGTGGGCTTTTTCCTATTTTTATTTTTATATGTCATATTAGCAAAGAATAAAAATTATTGGCATTTTGTTCTACATAAAATAAGATGATGGCATGTCAGGTCTTAACATTTTTATTTGCTAGAGTGTTCCAGTTTGAATCTTAAAGCATGTTTGTCCTAGAATATTTTAGGTTACACATCATTCTGTAAAGTTAAATATAGATATGATGTGGGGCCTTGCGTGAATGGTCAAGAAAGAATTCTTGAGATGATTTTGGTGCAAAAGGTGCTTTTATTACAGCACTGGGAAAGGACTCACGGGCAGAAAGAGGTGCATGTTTGCTGTAGGAAGCTGGTGGTTATATGCTTAGTGCTCAAGGGGAGGGGATGCGCAGGAAGTGTTAGATCATAAATATCTGCGAATTTCTACTCATAAAACTACTTCTGCAAGATTTCTCTGGTGCTTATCATTCAGCTTGATGTTAACTATTGGTGAGATGTACAGGCGGTCATGAGACCCTTGAAGAATGTAGCAACCAGCACGTATTTGATCCTTATCAGAACTCTGTAGGCTGTAGGTCAGCCTTCTGGGCTAAAGGTGAACATTTTTCTGCTGCTGTCTCTCGTCAGACATACTTTAAAATTCCAGTTTAAAAAATTCAAAGATAAAGATTTAGAAGATTTTGTACAGTTTTGCCAGTGTTCTTCTCCTTTGCTGCTCTCAGTGACCTTTACCAATTTTCTTTTTTTTTTTTTAAAGATTTTATTTATTCATTTGAGACGCAGAGGTACAGAGAGAGAGAGAGCATGAACAGGGAGAGAGGCAGAGGGAGAAGCAGGCTCCCCACTGAGCCAGGAGCCCGATGTGGGGCTCAATCCCAGGACCCTGGGATCATGACCTGAGCCGAAGGCAGACGCTCAACCATCTGAGCCACCCAGGCGCCCCACCAATTTTCTATTTGTATTAGATTGTAAACGTACTTGAACCTACCTTTTTCTTGCTGCATTTGTACCCAGGTGATGGACTTAGTTGTCTGTGTTGCAGTGTGTGGACATTAAAATGCCTGAAATTGACATCAGGAACCAGGTTGTTGCCCTTTTCCTTTGTCACTTACCCTAGTTAAGGGGTGTGGAGACCTAGTAAATGTGAAATATTTCATATTGTGTTAAAGTATGTGGATTTTCTGCTTCAGCTGGACAAAGTAATTTGTTAAAAACACATACTTTGAAGTTGGTATGGTCAACCAGAGCACCAAAACCACTTGGCATACTTACAACAGAGAACATTTAATACAGGGAATTGGTGATAACAGAGAGTGGTGCTGCTGTGAGCTGGGCAAGGCACAGAGTGACCCAGAGATGAGTGATAGCTGGAAGCCACCGCCACTCCTGGGCCACTCCTGGGCCACCCGTGAGCCACCCCTGAGCCACCCCTGAGCCACGCCAGGGCTACCAGTAGAAGCTGGAACCCTGACCACTTTAAGAATAGTAGCTGGAGCTCCTGCCACAAAGCAGAGCCAAGGTAGAAAGAGGAAAGGTTTTGGGAAGAAACCCTGGCTCCGTCTCCCCTGGCTCCAGCCTTCTGCAGCGCAGAGTCAAGCGGTAGAAGCAGGGAGGCTAGACCGGCCCGGGCGTGGTGCTGGAGATAAATCAGTAGTGAGGGGTTGGATCCCTGTTCCTCCAGATGCTGTCCCCCTTCCCCTTGATCTCCCTCGAATGTGTGCTGGGTAAAGTGAAAATCTAAAACTACACCCGCATTCAGTTCTGAGGGCATGAGGGCCCTCAGGCTGGCATCTTTGGTGTCCCCTTTCCCTTCACGTCTGCGTGCCTTCCCAAGTGGGGTTCTAAGTGGACCAACGTGGCCTTCTCTGACAATGGAGAATTTCTTTGGGGGTAATAGTACATGATTAGCTTGCATCTCTAACAAATTTCTAAACAGGTGTACAGTGCAGTCAGTTTTGGAATGCCCTCACTTTATCACTTTCTGATGATTGAGATCAGCTAACCTATGATATGAGTCCATAAAATGGGATGTCTCTCTTTTAGATATTGGAAAAATAGTGTGACTTCTGTCTCTTCTGAAACTGATCTTGCATGATTAATCCAGACTAATTAATGAATACCCAGTAGAGGAAATAGCATCAGTTGAGGAAGAATAAACATTTAATTGTTGCTTCCATTACACAATAAAAAGGGATGTAATCCAATTCAAATGTTCAAAAACATAGAGCCTTCTGTGAGGTGCCCAATAAAATGTTGAATTTATAGCGACTCTATTGTGAAAGCTGTTATGTTTATGATTTGACTTGAAGAAGTTTATAGCTGAAAGACCCTGAGAAGTCTTCTAAAAGAATCCTTTTGTTGAAAAGGAAACTAGCATTCCCACTTTTCATTTTCAGAAGACGTATGCCTAAATCAACCTTAAAAACAACTTTTTGGAATTATAAAAGCCTGTACCATTTATAGAAAATCCAAAAAAATGGTGAGAGTATGTGTATGTGTGTGTGTATGTTTCCCATGACATGAAAGCCTCCAGAGATAGACTCATTCATTCATTCATTCAGCAAATAGGTACAGAGCACCTACTGTCAGGCATTGTACTAGACACCAGGGAAATATTAGTGGGCAAAGCAGTCACAATTTTTCATTTAACTTGAATTCTCATAGAACTTTCTAGTGGAAAAGGAAACAGACAATAATTATGTATGTCAGGTGGTAGTCCGTGCCATGAAGGGAGTTAAGGAGAGCAAGGAGAGCGGGAATGCTGTTTTCTAGGGAGTTCGGGAAGGCCCTCTGAGCAGCCAACATTTGAAGTCATCTGATGAAGCAAGAGGGCGAGCCATGTTCTTCCCGGAGGAAAGAGGGCTGTTTCTAGGCAAAGGGAATGGAGAGAAGTATTGTAAAAAGGTTGATGCATATTTGTTCAGATTTTTTCTGTGCATATACTAGGCTTATAAAGAACAGTAGCTTACACTGTACCTCCGGTTTTTTCACTTAACAATCTACCTTCCTTTGTCTTTAATAGCTGTGTAGCGTTTTATTATATGCCTATACCTTAACTTATTTGACCAGTTCTCCATGGTGAACATTTGCGTTGTTTCTAGGTTCTCGGTACTGCTGAGGGTGTGGCTATAAACATCTTTATGCACATATATAAATACTGATGTGTGTGTTTTTCTACAACAGTGGTTCTCAACCCACCTTTTTTTTTAATTATTTTTTAAAGATTTTATCTATTTATTTTAGGGAGAGAGAGCGAGTAGGGGTAGGAGGGAGAGGGAGGGGGAAAGAAACTCAAGAAGACTCTGTGCTGATCCCAACGAAGGGGCTTGATTTCACAACCCTGAGATCATGACCTGAGCCAAAACCAAGAGCTGGGAGTTCGACCTACTGAGCCACCCAGGTGCCCCAACTCAACGCACTTTAAAAGGCTTAAGAAAATACCGATGCTCAGGTTTTATTCAGAACAGTTTCTAAATCAGGATGTCTGGAGTTGGGATCCAGGACTTTTTTGGTATTTTTAAAAAGTTCCTTGGATGACTCCAGTATGTGGTCAGGGTTGAGAACCGCAGCTGTAGGATGATTCTTAGAAGTGGCCTGGCTGAGTCAGTGATAAAGACATGGTACATTTTAGTTGATAGTGCAAAGTTGTTCCCTGTATTGGAATTAGGAGCAACTGCCAGTAGTAGTAACCTAAAGTAAGTTGGCTTAAACAAGATAGTTTCTTTTTTCTATGAAATTCTTTACATAGGTAATCCAGGGCTGGTACGGTAGTTTTATTATGCGTAGTCCTCAGGTACCCGGGTTCCTTCTGGCTTTTGTGTTTTCTGACCTAAGGGAAATCTAATCTCAAGCGAGTGGGGGAGGGTTGGTTAATGCTCCTGCCATGACGTTCATGTTGCAGGCAGCACAGTGAAGGAAGGATTGAAGGGCACAGACCAGCTGTTCTCTTAAAAGATGCCTAGAAACTTCCACAGAACACTTCGGCTTGGTTTTGTTTATCTGAAAAAAGAGGAGAAGGGGGAGCCGCAGCCGCTAGGTGTCCCTGCCCCGTCCCTCTGGAGAGCTGTAAGCGTCTGCCCTCTGCCCCCAGAACCTGCCCCCAGTGCCAGGACCTGCTCGGCTTGAGTCCGCCCAGGTCACTGCCTTACGGCTTTGTCGCAGGGATGAAAACTCGGACAGTATATTGGCTTGGGGGGAAGGCAAAATCAACTCAGTTCAGACTCAGGAAAGATGGTTATAAACTTGACCATGAGGAGAAAATAATGTGTTGAAGGCCTGTTCTTTAATTGCGTACAATTCTCTTCTGATGTTTTAGCTCCCTCAGGGGAGGGAATCTCTTCCCTGTCAGCAGGGTATTACTTATGAACATCCTCGTTGGAACATACTGCTCAAGGAGGACATCTTCGTGCATCATTATTATTAGAATTAAATATTGTTACACTTGGGCGCCTGGGTGGCTCAGTTGGTTAAGCGACTGCCTTCAGCTCAGGTCATGATCCTGGAGTCCCGGGATCGAGTCCCGCATCGGGCTCCCTGCTCGGCAGGGAGTCTGCTTCTCCCTCTGACCCTGTTCCCTCTCGTGCTCTCTATCTCTCATTCTCTCTCTCTCTCAAATAAATAAATAAAATCTTTAAAAAAAAAAAATATTGTTACACTTGGATATAAAAAGTAGTTTGACCTGTGACTTTTTTTAATGACTTTTCTTTGTCCTTGCAGTGGATGAAGGTCGCAGTAAGGAGCCTGACCGTTTGCAGGTGTTCCACAAGAAAGCCATAATGCCTTACGGCATTTATAAGAAACAGCAGAAGGACCCGAGAGAGGAGGCGGCCGTGCTGCAGTACGCGGGGCTGGTGGGGCAGGCGTGCTCCGAGCGGATGCTGCTGCTGCGGAACTGAGGCCATCTGCGCTGCCACCACCCCCCCCCCGTGCCCCCTCACCCCCGCGCCCCAGGGAGGCTCCCGGCCTGCCCACAGATGAGGCGTTTTTTATTTTGACTCTTCTTGGCTTTTCTAGAATATTTTGTGGCAATGTATTTGTGAGACTCTCCTGGTTAATATAAAGATTTTAAAAATAGGTTGTGACCTAGCCTCCTCGTGGGTATCATTTTGGAAGTTTGTTTTATGAACAAGCTACGGTATGAACTTCTTGTGTTAATATTTTGGAAAGTAAAATGAGTAAGTGGATCTTAAGTCATTTAAATCACCATCGTGCTTTCTTTGTCAAAGAAATTACAGCAGACTTTTCTCAGATCCATTTAAGATATTAGTTTATGCTCCAAGACTGGAAGGCTGGGGGAGAAGGTGGGGAGTCGAGTCGGTTTTCTCTCTTGGAAAACGTCTTCTCAAGAGAACGGAACTGTTGTTCCTCATTGTTCAATATTACTGCCGAATGTTACATAGTTAATAGAAAACTCAGAGAAAGAAAATACAAACCTTAAAGAAAGGACGTTGAGTGGACGTCAGATGTTCGTTTACCCAGGACCGCCTCCGTCATATCTGTTGTCTGGGCATGCTTGTTTTTCCCAGAATAATTATTACTCTCAAATAATCTTACTCTCAAAAGTATCCCAGTTGGACAACAAAATATGTGATTACCCTAGTTGTATATATTATTTGCTCTGTTTCTAAAAATCTCAGAAATGGACGTTTTTGTAGATTTTGTTTGGGTTTTTGGTTTTTTGGTTTTGTTTTTTAGAAAAATGTTGGCTCCTGCCTTGACCTGAGACCCATCAGAAGTAACTATACACTAAATTTTTCACTCCTTAGAACTCAGGACACTTGTCTTTGGTTATTGATTAAAAATTAGTTAATATCTGACTACTTTTATAGCTGTGGTACAAATCACGTTTAATGAAGCGTAGGAATCATTTTGACCTCTGTTCAGGGCAAGAGGTGGAGCAGTCCGTTTCTTGCTCTTTGATTTGGGAGTCAGCACATGCTAGCTCCTTGACTTCTCACTTTGTTTTGGCCCCTCACCCAGGCAGCAAATGTCCCTTGTTTCCACCCCCGTCAAGGTGGCAGGTCCTGTGCTGGGAGGAAGGAGACTGAGCGTATTGGTTCACAGAATGGAGCTGTGTTGGAGACAATAATGACAGAGGAGGGTTAGTTTCCTGTGCCCTTTCTCAGCTGACCCCCATCTTCTGTGTCAGCAGCTTGGCCACAGAGTTCATTCCATTGCCCATTTTGCCTGTTTTCTATTGATCTTTTTTAAAAACCATATTATAAAATGTAGTACTTTGCAACCCAGTAGTGGTTTTAAACTTTTCTCCTAAAGGCACTGAATTTGGAGAAGACATTAGAAAATAATTTCAGTTAGCTAAAAGAGGGATCATAAAACAATGATTTTAAAAATCACATGTCTAGAAATTCAACATCCAAATGAACTGTGTATTTATTCATTCAGACAGGGTGTGTGTGTGGTCTGTGTGTGTAACCCCTGCCATATGCAGGTATTTTGCCAACTGAGGATAGAGGAGTGAGGAAAGCCATTTTCTCTGATCGTGTGGATTTTGCATTCTTCTGGGATTTTGTTCTTCAAAATAGCCTCCCAAGAGTATTTGATAGGCTCTTGTTTGGAACTGCCTTCAGAACCTACAGAACTTTTTTTTCTTTTTCCCTCTAAAATGAAGATAGCTTAATGTTTTTAGGTTTACAATATCGTACTCACTGTAAGCAATTCAAACATTAATAAAACTATAAATATAATCTGAAATTCTGCCATACCAGAGAAAGAGAGAACTGTTATATATCTATACACATACATACATAATTTGAGTATAAATAGAATTATGCTCTATACACTGTTTTGTGGACATGCCTGAATTTTGAAAGAAGTTTCGAAGTAGGACTTCAGAAGTGTTGTGAGTAATCTGAGTACTAGGAAAGTCAGTGGGGTAGGGTCGAATCTTGGTACCCTTGGCGTTGGAATGTTCACGTTGCCACCAGCTGCATTACACCCACTCTTATGTCCTTGATTGGCGGGTAGAACAGGAGCCCTGAAGATCACAACTCTTGAGTATCCCGTGAAGGGAAAACCTGACTCTTACATCGTACCACGACTCTGGTTTCCTCCTGCAGAATTCAGTTAGGGTTCCTTCAGAGGAAAGTGATCAATCACATCCTTGTCTGGGAACCGGGGTGCTGCCCCTGAGGGCATCATTCAAGGTTGACTGCAGTGAACCACCAGAGAGAACTGGGCATGAAGATTCTTCTGCTCGGTTGCTGGATTCATGTGCTGTTCTTTTGGGAATAGGTAGTGTATTGATCCTAATGAGTTAATTATTTGTTCTTTTGCGCCCTGGCTGAGTATTAACAGCGTGCTAGAAAAGGACAGCAAGGCAAGTGACCTGGCTTTGCCAGTCGATGTAGAGTCTAGCTGAGAAATCTGGTTTTATGTTCATGGCTTTCATCCAAAGAAAGACACTTGAGAACCTTTCAAAGACAGTTTCTATCTTTTCAAGGCTGGAAGCTGCGCATTTACCCTCTTAGAGTTGTAGTTCCCTCCTGGATGCAGGGAAATTCACACCTGCCTCCTCGTCTCAGGAGCAGAAATGTAATTGAGGTTTTCCACACTGCCGTCTTTATTTAAATTCTTCCAGTTCTGTGAGATTTTTTTTGTTATTTTTTAAAAATGTAATCTGAGCACTTTTTTTAATATTCTATAAAAGAGGCTATTACCAAATGAATATATTATTCATTTGATTAAAAATTATTTAGATAAGAAATTATTACTGTTTATCTTTGCTTTCAGATAACGTATCCTATTTTTTATCCATTTTGCAAAATACCTCTTGTGTGTGGTTTCTTAACCTAGCAGAATCTATTATGTAAATGAACCTTTTCAGATATCTGAGCAGTATGTGGCTTGATTTTATAGGCTTTATACTATTTCAGTGTGAATAAAAATGAGAAGGAATATGATGACCAGTTATCTAGAATGTGTTGGTGGTTGCTAACTTTAAAGAAAAGAAGGAAGTGAAATGGAAACATAATGTTTGATTTAGAAGTTATTCAAATGTGTATTCTTTTCCAAAAGAAAACCAGTGACTGTAAAGCAAAACAAGTCAGATTGCATGTGATTTTTTTTGCTCTCGTGTATGCCTTTTGAACAGTCCATTTGATAAATCTTGAATGAAAAAAAAATAAAGCTGTTTCTATCTGCTGTGGCTCTTGCTGGTCAGTACTTAGAAGACATATGTTTCCTTACTTTTCGGTTTTTTTACAACATTTTACCTGTGGTGAATATGCAGAAAACAGAGGTAAAACAATGGCTGTATGAATCATAATATCTCATTTACAGTAATTATGGGAATTCCAGATCATTTGGTTACCTAAATCAAAGCATGGTGGATTCCTTTCTCAGGAATAAGTAAAAATAAAATAAGTCTCACTTTAAGCAAAACATCTGGATTTCACATGAGAAATTAGGAAATAGACATTCTTTTACCCACCGGGATTAGGCATGGGATTTAGGTAGCAAACTCAAATATAATTTCTCTTAAAAAGCTTAGTTTACAGAGAAATTCTCATAAATATAAAGCAAAGTATAACCATTCATAATAGTATACAGTATATTTATGGAATATGTTTACAAGCATTTTGTGGTTGTTTTTTTTTTTTATAGTAAAGAGGACCCTAGTAGGTTTAGGATAAAATGAATCCTGTTTTCCAAGTGATTTAAATATTGGTTATAATTCCCGCTGACATTTTTTTTTTCCAGAATGGAAGTAGCTTTTTTGTTTTTCTTATTTGAAGTGGCCGGTGTTCACCAGGGAGCACTTAGGCAGTGTAGAAAAATCTACGGAAGAAAATACCAAATCACTTACCATGCCATCAGTAACCACCACCCCTGCCATTCACACTTTGATGTTGTACCCTTTCAAACTTTTTTCTACCTACATGTATGTATATGTCTTGTTTTATTTTTAAATAAAAATGGAATTATGCCATGTATATTGTTTCATAATTGTGAACATTTTAATTCATTGTGAACATGCAAATAAATGAGGAAGAATACAATTGTTTTAATGGCTGTTCGATAATAGTCCGCTGTGTCTAGTATCTTTTGAGAAAGGGGGCTTGAGACTTGAGCCCCAACTCATGGGCACTCGGAGTTGTAATTGACCTGCATTAATAGTTCTCATCAGTTGTTTGTAACACTCAGTCACATGGTTCTTATCCCTCATTTTCCCTGATCCTATGCCTTTCCCTGACAGTAGGGATTTCCTCCAAACTCGAACGTTCAGGTATAGCTTTTAAAAGTCAGTGTCACCTCTCATTGTCCCTCAACTAAATATTTTCTAGGAGACTATCCTACCATTTTTACAGTTTGAACGTCTCTAAAATTCCCAATTAGAAAATGTCTTACTTAAAAGCTTAAGATTATTTAAAATTAAGGTTCTGATTCATTGATTCTTTATACAACAGAGGCCCTTAAAATGGGTACCTGGAAAGGGTGGGCCATCGTTAATTTAGCCAAGGTTTTTACTTTGAAAAATATGCTGGCTTTTTAAGATTTAATTCTAAGTAAAATTGCATTTTTATATCGGTTGGATGTTACAGTTGGTATCTTCAGTCCAGTCCTGTCCAGGAAATAGTTTCCTATTGACGGTCTAATTCTCAGTTAGACCAAGAATTGAAGTTGCTAAATATATTTGGCATGCCAAATTTTTATTCATTTAGAGCTCCAAAATAGCTTGCAGATTTTTATCACTTGGGTTCCTCACCATATCTCTCCACCTGTAATATGAAGAAGCAATTCCAAATGGATGTGCTGTTAAAAAACAAAACAAAACTGGGGGCGCCTGGGTGGCTCAGTCGATTAAGCGTCTGACTCTTGATTTCAGTTCAGGTCATGGTCTCAGGGTCATGGGATGGAGCCCCTCATTAGGCTCTGT